GGTAAACTTCGCCATTGCTCAGGAAGGTGGATTTGATGTGAGCATCTCAACAGGAGCTTGCAATGGGTACTGCCACGTAATGCACCCTGTTCCAAAACGAGCTCGTCTCACTGATTTGAGAAGAAAATGACTTCATTCCTCTTCTGCTCCACTGGGTCACGTAGGAGATTCATCATAAAGGTGTTATAGTGACCCCAGAAAAATTTCGTGAACAACTGCGAAAGGCGATGTTTGAGTGCTCTCATTTCCCGCCACCTCCAAGGGAGCTTCCAACTATGATGGACAGTGTTCGAGCACACAGTGGCACGGCGTAGGAGCGCGCGAAAGGCGGAACATCAACTGGTTGCAGCATCGAACGAAGTCACTTCTTCCGAACCTTTGTGGTTACCATGATTCTAGAGGCATAGCGGTTTACATACAGGGAGAGAAAATCCAACAACTGCCAAGATTTCACGGGTGCAGTTCAATAGTGGATCGCGTTCTCTCCTTCTGTGAGAGTCCGTCAGTGCTCTGCCTATCCGATGGAAGAGAGTCATGCGCTTTAAAGGGCCATTATCTTGATTGATGATCTTACGCTCTTTATTGCTGTGATCCTTCGTTGAACAAATCGACTGGATTTTCTCAAAGCTTTCGGGGCACTAATAATAATAATATCGATCACACTTCTACAATCGAAGGCTTCTACAGCTTAGGTCCTAGAATAGGATGGACACTGCTGGGGCCGTATGCTGAATGTTGGGTAGGGGCTGGGGTCCCCGACCCGCGATGCTGAATGTTGGGGCTCCCAGCAGAGTTTCGTCGCGGGACCTACAGGTGACTGGCCAGTCCTTTAATTCTGTGATGAAGTTTTTGTCTTTTCACTGTTCTAGATTACAGATTCGTCCACGCACACATTGCCATATTGAAGTAATACACCAGTATGGCACGAAGTAGTAGAAGGCGCGAACCAAACTTCAGTCTAAAGTAGTGAATGGACAGACTAGCAAGATTACGGCATTACAGCTAGACTTACACGAACGCTCCAGTATGTGAAAGAATCAAAGGATAAACTAAAGCAATTACAACAATATAGCTGCATATACGTGGACAAATCTACAGTGTAAAACAGTAAAAAGGTGAAAACGTAATCGTAAAATCAAAGGACCGGTCAGTGGCCGCCCGGTCCCGCGACGAAACTCTGCTGGGAGCCCCAACATTCAGCATCGCGGGTCGGGGACCCCAGCCCCTACCCAACATTCAGCATACGGCCCCTGCTCAAGACCAAGCCACCTCTTTCTCTGTGCAAAATTCAGCCCTGGTGCTAAGAGAGGGTCGCAATGTGAAAACCAAAGCCGTAACCTAATACTGAGTTGGGAATACATTCAGAGCACCTCTCTACTCCTTTAAACTTTCATTTAGCAAGAACCGACTAGACAGGAAGTCTTGATTTTTGCTCTGCATCAGCATTTGCTTTTTACTTCCTTTCTACTCATACAAATTGGAAAACTAGACCAATTGCTAAATGATGATAAAAATACATAGATGGCGGCACGCATAGTGGGTCGACGACAGCAACGACTGCTCCGTTCGGCGACAGTCGTGCTGGGCGTCCGGACCGACTATGCGTCTGATAAAAATAGTACAACATCCCATGGAGTTGCGGCAATTCTAATGTGAGAGTACGGTAGTCGATGGAGGTACGTAATTACACTTGGTGAGCTTGGCATTTTTCACGTAACATTGTGCCTTCGCTAAATGCTTTTCTTTCACTTGACGCTGTCCTTTATGAAGTAGATCTTATCGCTGATGAAGTCTATGACTTCCTCGTCATGTTATTTTTGTGGTATCTGTTGAGAAATGGTTGGTTCCGACAAGTTTGTGTGCCATTTCTTATAGAAAGACCAGCAATTCTCAGTGCCTGTGTACGCTTTGAATCAGCGGTAACTTGTGTGATCGACGCTGTTCCCTTATAAACTTGCGAACATAGTGCACAAAATTGGGGTCTCATCCAGTAAGGGGGGCATCAAGTGGCTGCCCTCACCCCCCACCCCCTAGACTGCCTACACTCCCCCTGGCGCACAGGTTTCTGAAGTACGGGACCCCGTGAGCCAGGGGGAGTGAAGCCAGTTCAGGGGGTGGGGGGTGAGGGCAGCTACTAGACGTTGCATCACAATGCCCCCCCCCTTACTGGATGAGACCCGGAATCTGCTTCTCCACGGCCTGTTTTATCACGAATTTTACATTTACTGAGCCTTGTTGTGCTTCTCGGACATAAAAGCAGTGAAGACTTTGACCACTATGGCATTAAGAATTCTGTGGTCCCATGAAGGTTTACGGATCCCTTCGCCGCTCTTTTAATGGTTGTGATCCTCCTTACTTAGTTTCGAGTAGGGAAGATACGTTGTATAGGATAGTCGCCTTGATACACACTTCCCTCTAGGCTAGAGAGTTGTGCCGCGTTTTGTGGGAGGATCCTAAGGGCTGTAATATTTCGCCATTTAAAAATATACCATTATTAATTGCCTTTAGCTTGTACCTGGTGTTCGTGTTGTTAGGATCGCACAAAAAATTGCATGAATTAAATAGATTCAGGTTAAAAGTTTGTAGGTTTCCCATGCTCATTATTATCGCTTAACATTTTACTAGGTCTAGTTGTGGAAAAATATGTGGTGAGGTCCTCCCCCCTTCGCCCCTCCCTCACCCTCCCTCCCCCCCCGTATACGAAAATGTAAGGTTTGAAATGTAAAAAAAAATTCCTAAATACTGGGATAGTGAAGCTGTTTTTTGCAAAGTGTTGAATGGTCTTTTGTAATTTTTGGCATTGTCTGGAGCAATAGTAGGTAGCAGGAATAGTTTTTGCTCTATTAACTATTGTACACTGAATTATATAAAAAGATAAACTATTTGGTATCGATCCATTTTCTTCAGGGATGCCCTTCCATTTCACTCCAACTCTAGTACCAACTCACCTAGCCGCAATGTGCCTCAGGGAGAGGGGCAGTCTGCTGTGAGAAGGTCACTATGACCACGCCTAACGGAGGGGGTCGAATTAGGGAGTGAAAGAAAATTGCTCACGCAGGTCTGATTCCCTCTTCTCCTTCAAAGCATAGTCTTGGAACTGAAGGTTTTCGTGATTCTAGCGCAATGTTACGGGCTGCCCCCCTCCCCCTTCGGAGCTACATTGCGCATTCACCTATCCCGAGAAAGAGAAGATTGGTCAGCCTAGACGGTTTTGGTCTGCAATTTGATCCCCGGGCCATGAGTACTACAGCGGCGCGTTTTGACACTACCGGCCCTAGTATGTGTTTATAATAATTTGCTTGAGCAATAAAAGTTAGCCTACCATAAAAGTGCTGCTTTTACATCACCAAGGTCATGCTTCTCTTAACTCTGCTGTAAAACTGGTAGCAGTTTACAGAAACGACCTCATGAGGCTTGATCAGTAAGAATAACGACACTCAAGATATTGTCCAGTAACACCACCTCCAGTAACACCACCGTTTTGTATTCTATGATGTTGAGCTCGAACCTGATTGTTCCATTACATGATGCTCTACAGATAGCTGTGATCCTAAGTTTCTCGAAGGACTGTTACATAGGCAACGCTGAAGGCTGATTGCGCTGTTGGTAATGGTACTACAGCTCCTATTAGGTGGATGGAGCCTTGAAGTGCTTCCGAGTTGTGAGGTTAAACTGCTATTAATTCTAGAGGGTGATCCGATTTTATGCATGACTTGGCTTATCTCTGCCGCAGGGCGACGGACTATACAATCGTCGGCTAATGAGGTCACGCCGCTCACGCGGCGAGAATCGTCGCGTGCGGCAGTTGCTGCGGCGATTTCTGTGTGGACCTTTTCTTATCCATCCATGCCCATAAGTTGGCTAGGTGACTGATAACACCAGAGTGCTGGACATCAGTAAGCCAGCAAGCGTCACTGTAAGATCCCTGCAGTGATTTAAGCCTCGCAGTACAAAACTTTGTACCGTGTAAAGGTTGTCCTTTTGGATTTAATTTGACTTCTTTATTAATCAGTTTCCTGAATTTCTATCAGAGAGTGATAATCTGGTTCAATCGGAAAGAATATTGCGTATCAAGACACAGAGTAGCGGCGAGGAAGGCTCAAACATAAGCATGATATGATAAGTATGTAATAACGGCGAGCGAAAACGAAACTGCATTTTAAAGGTTTAAGTGGTTCTTATTTCATGTTTCATGACGGGAAACATGATCTGATCGTACATTCCCCAATGCTTGGATGCTGAGTTCTTTGCAAATTCGCCGCGATATTGCTGGCTGCGGCGGCCCGCGCGGCGACCTACTTACTGCCACGATTGTATAGTCACGCACCCTGCCGCAGTGGGCAAATGGGAGCATGGCGGGCATGACCGATTTATGCTCTGTGGGTGATGAACGTTCATGATGTACTTCGTGTAGGGAGAACTAATAAATTTTTCACTATTTCAGCCACATCTTTCACAAGGTGGAATTCGGTTATCTCTCCAAGTTCATTTAGTTCACACTTCACTCATTATGCCCAATTTTGAGCAACGCAATAGACCTAACAATTTCCACAAAAAGAGAGAGGTTAGGGACAAGTGAATGAAGTTCTGTTCCTCGTTTCAAGAATAGAATGGACGAAGCGTGATCGTGAAAATGGGAGAAAAGTAATTGGAAGTCTCCAGTCGAATCACTCAGCGCATATTTAATCTTCCAGCTGAATTTCCAGTTCTCTTACTCTCTTATTTTTCTAATCAATGCATATCATCTTGCCTTTCATTCTCGTAAACCTTAAGAGTATAAACGCGGTTTTACTGCTCATTGAATTACTTCGAAATCTATTATTTGGTCACAGTACACAGCGAACATTACGAGGACGCAGCTCAGTTTTGTTCACCAGTTTGTAGCAGTACTTAGTTGATTTATTACAGATGCTTCAGTTTTGCTGAGTGTTGTTCGTGTGCCGTACCGTTCCTTTTTCTTATTCGACTGTTTTTTTTTCAGCTGGAAATGCCAGTATTGTATGGATATGTCCTCGACCGCCTCAAGTTAGCCTTCTTATTTCCAGCGGCCAGCGGCAGGCATTGCCAGGCCCATCACGTGAAAAATATGTTATAACCAAACTTGCCAAACGAAAGGGCTTATCTCGAAATGGATATTTAACGGTTCAAACAGTCTGGTGCAGTCAGGTCCAAGATGGAATCCAATCTTCTTAAATTTTTAATTATCTTCCACTTGGTATTGAATGTTATGGTTTGCGACTTTGCTGATCGCTAGGTTAAGAGTCTGTAATAAAACTGGTTTTCGAGTCTTATAAGCAGCATACTTTTGAGATTTTTTTGTAGATGAAGACCTTCGAAATGCCATCGAACGTCTGGCTGTTTTTGTGGCGAAGAATGGGCCAGACTTTGAAAAGATGACAATGGAGAAACAGGAAGGGAACCCGAAGTTTGCCTTCCTCTATGGCGGCCCATACAATGAGTACTACCGTTTCTGCGTTGAACGTGAAGTTCAAAAAAGTCAGTTTTATCACAGTTTCATAGCTCTAATCCTATTGCATATTATATGCATTGCGATGTTGTAGTACATGGGCCACCACATCATGGGAATGGATGTGTAGGACCGCCCCAGCCTGAGTCCGAATTCATGAGAAGGATGAATTCCCAGAAAGAGCAGTTAAGGCAACAAATCACTGACAGCGAGCGGAACTTGAAAGCTCATCTTGATTCCATCCCTGCTATGAAAGAGGTGAGTTCCATCGCAGTGCTTTATTTCTTTGCTTATCAAGATTTTGATTATTTAGGCGCAAGTGGCACAAGCCGTAGTTATGTCGGAATCTCAGAAAATGTCGCAAATTTTGGCTAATGTGAATTTTGATGTGGCACCTCTAGGTGCAATATTGGATCAGCTCAATGGAGGAAAGTGCTCTAAGGATCTTGTTTCGGTATGTGCATTCCTTTTCTTGGGGAAGGCCACTGTTTGGCTTGAAAAACGTATGGGTTGTTATCATTAAGAAACCCAAGCAGAGTCAACCCTGCGTTGCGCAGTTCGCAACGGCACGTTGAGAGATCCTCAACGCACGCTGTATGGGCGGAGACGCAGACGGCTCGAGCATGCGAGTGTGAATGTTCGCGCGAGAGAACGTGTCTAATCGGGCGAAACTGCGCAACGTGGCCGTTGAGAACTGCGCAACGCAGGGTTGACTCTGACATGTAGTGCTTCAGTCTTTTTTCCCTTGCGAGAATTGAAAGGTCTGTAGACGGCCGCGACTGTCGCACCACATGCCCCCGTTGTTAGATGAGGTCCGTTTGATGATTTGACTCACTCGCTTCAGACCAGCCGAAAGTGGATATTCGAGCACTGTCAGACAGATCAGCTCAGAGAAGTTGTTCTCACCTATCTCCTAAGCAGGTTTCTTCAAAAAATTATTTTTATTCTTCTGTGTTCCTATTATTTCCGTAACTGTAATATTTAGGGTCAAAGATTCTCATGCTAATGACAATTTTCGATTGAACATACTCTATGTTATCAATGACTGGGCATACCAATGGTGGGTTGGATTTTTTTTGTGTCGAGTACCTTCATTTATTGATTTGGTGTTAGGGATGATCGCGGGTAGTCTTAATACCACCGAGATTTTCCGCTTGGTGACAAATTGATGCAATAAAACACTTAGTTCTCGTCTTTCACGGCATTCAGCAGAATAAGCCACAACAGCGGTGCGGAACCGACAGTAGACTACGATGGAACTGTGGCAGTAATTCAGCATTCATGCTCTGATTTTGAAATTCCTAAATGCTGCTCATTAATCCTATATATGTACCTCTCTCGAATGCTTAAGAACATCTGGAGCATTTGGCTTCTTTTGTTTCATTGAGAAACAAAGCGTTTACTGTAAAGCTAATTCGATCCAACTCCGCAGCGCTCAATCTTGTACATAGCGTGTCCCTCTCGCTGAGAGCGCTGTTAACTCTTTCTACAGCACATGCTTGATGGTGGCTCTAATGGATAGAGGACGAAAGAAGGATGGAGTAGGTTAGAGCTGCCCACGGATGAGAGTTACACAACGTTTGCTTTGCTCAAAAAATGAGATACCTCCTTGAACAGCTAAAAACCTATTGAGAATCATGACACACTTTCCTAGTTGTTTGTCTTTTTTGCTCTTTATTACGAAACGCCTTTCCAGTGAATTGCTCTTCAATTCCGCTGCTGCTTTCAAGTCCTGCATTTTTTTCAGTCAGCGAAAACGTTTGGATTCCCAAACGCAGATGTTGTCGCGTTACGTTCCGCAAATGTACGCCTTTACTGTGGAGCTCTCTCAGGATGGTATGATGCAGCAGAAACTAGACAAACTGATCGGTGTTTGGGAAGGTCACAAATATTTCAACGATCAGTGTTTCAAGGTTTGTT